TATCAAATTTTAAGGATTTAGTAGGACATTTGTTTGTTAAATATGAAGCAGTTTTAACTGCTTCCCCCCAGAACAGTTTTAGTAGGCTAGAACTTGTCAGCATACATCTGACTTTTTCTAATAGAGTCCTATTCATCCTTTCAGCAAACTTATTCTATTGGGGAGTATAGGTGACAGTCCTATGTCTAAAGATCACATTAGCTTTGCAGAAATTATCAAACTCTTAATTGCAAAATTCAAGGTCATTATCAGTTCTAAGTGCTTTAACACTTCTATTCACTTGATTTTCAATAAGAGTTTTCTATTCTACAAAATTCTTGAATGTATCAGATTTATTTTTCAAAAACATCACCCAACTTTTCTTTGAAAAATAATCAACAATAAGTAAGTAATACTTGAAACCAGAATAAGTGCACATAGGTGCTGGCCCCCACAAATCAGCATGTAAGTAATCAAGAATGGATTTAGACTTGTGAATGCCTGAACCAAAAAGTAATTTCTTTTGTTTTCCAAATAAGCAATGTCCACAAAACAACATTTTTTCTATTCCTTAATTCCCTAAAAGACCTTGTTTCTTAAGAATATGCAAATTCTTATCACTAATGTGTCCAAGTCTTTTATGCCCAAGTNAAATTCTTATCACTGATGTGTCCAATTCTTTTATGCCAAAGTTCAGATTGATCAGACTGTGAGACTGTAGCAGCAATGGAATTATTTTGTAAAGGTAAGGCTTGCATGGTATAAATCCCATTGGCTTTTTCAACTTGAATGACTTTAGCAAATCCTTTTGAAGTGTTAAAATACTTTTATTTATGTTGGTATTAAAACCTTTATCATCAAGGGTTTCTAAAGAGATGAGATTCCTCTTTAGGTTTGGAATGTATCTAGTTTTATTTAAAATGAGTACATTCCCATTTTTTAGTTTCAAAACAGTTTTTCCAATGCCCTTTATTTTGCAAGAAAAGCCATTTCCCATTATCACTTGTCCCCCACTTCAACGAAATCAGTAA